ACACACACACACACACACACGCATGCATGCTACCTAAGGGCTGCAGAGACATTCTTACATGTATGTACACACGCACTGACCCGCGGCCTAATGAATACCATCAGAGGATGTGTGAAAGGTGGAGAGAGACGGAGAGTGAGGAGAGAGTGCTACCGACTCAGATGGGGGGGGGCGGGGGGGGGAGGGGTGTGTGTGTGTGCCGGGGTCCTGTGACCATGCAGAAGCAGATAGAGGACGGATAAGGTATCACTTCCTAACCCCAAACACATTTACAGCTGACACCATGATTAATGAGACTGGAGCTGTGCTACAGGGGCCTGTTTCTGGATCCATTAGACCCCCCCCCCCCCACTCCCAACTGCCCAACTGCCCACAACCGCCTACCTCCACCTCCCCCCACCCTACCGGCGCTGGACCCTTTCCATCTGGACAAAGCCACCCCAGGGTGTTCTGAACTAGCTCAACGTGCGTGTGCAGGACGTACATTTGGTGACCACGCCCTCCAGGTGAATGATGTTAGGGTGGTCGAACTGGCCCATGATGCTGGCCTCGGACAGGAAGTCCCTCCTCTGCTTGTCGGTGTAGCCGGCCTTCAGGGTCTTGATGGCCACGCAGATCTCCCTCTTGCCGGGCATCTTCAGCCGGCCGCTGCAGACCTCACCGAACTCGCCTGAGGACACACACACACACACACACACACGCGCCGCTTTGAAAATGCGGGAATGACGGCAGACAAGCACTTTTATCTACGGATTCGGAATCGAATGGGAAAAGTGTGTGCGAGTCTACACATTGATCAGGGCCTTAATCCCCCCTCCCCTCCCCTCCCCTCCCGCCCTTCTCCTTCTGTTATCCACTGAAGCAGATGAAGAGGAGGAAATAGATATCGATTCTTACTCTTTATTATTTTGTCATTGGATGACTTTTGTCGGGCCACATAAACAGCTCCACTAACAGGAAGAACTGGGCTTATCCCCACTCTGGGTGTTTTTAACTTGCTGTGCTGGGTTAGAGTATTTATATCTCCAAAATATTTTCCGCTCTTAGGAACACAGGTACTCAACATTTGTATTAAACTGATGAAAAACAGCCCATATGTTATCTTGTTAGAATGATTGATACTGCTGTGGCTCCTCATTGCTCTGCGTGGATAATAACTGATTGAAAAGGACTGAAGTGAAATATCTGCTCCTCCTGGAACTAAAAGCAAAAGCCTCTTCCTCACCGATGCCAATAACTTTCTCGATCTTGATACAGGAGGCGTCGATCTCCTTGGCAAATTCCCGGACAGCTTGATTCGGATCCTCATAAGTAAAGGGATCAACATATATCCTCACTCCTGTAAAAAAAAAAGTATGAAGATAAAGGATGGAAGGAAGCAGAAGAAAGAAAGAGAAAGAAGGAGATGGTTAATTCATTCTGGCAATGGCTCTCCATCTGTTCTTTATTTCCAGCACGCTGTAGGCTACGCCGCCCTCCTCTCTGGATCCTCTCCTCCTCCCTTCTTGTTTCCAAACCCTCTCCCTGACTACACTGCGTTTTATGTCACTGGTGCTGACTCAAGTGAAGATGGAGCTCATTAACCGGGAATTCTCGTGGCACACGAAAAAAACAGTGCTGATGACTTGATAACGAGGTGTTTGAAACATGTTGGGAAGGAAACCCATTAACTTTAAGATAGTTTGTTTTTCCCTTTGTTTTATGAGCTCAAATTGCAGTTTGTAGTACGTCAGACGAGGTTGTAAGTGTGGAGTGTAAACCGTGACTCACCTTGATGTAAATGCTTCTCTTCATCCGAGTCCTGCTTGGCCTTACTGTACTTACTCCTTCTGGCGGCAAAAAAAAGCAGGACAGTCAGTCAAGGTGCATTATAAACATACGTGAGAGGGTCAGAAACTATGCATGCCAAGTAGAAAAACAAAACCGAAGTCATTAATGAAGGAGAAGGCTCACTAATTAGATAAATCATGTTGCCCACCATTGATGACACATCTGTGTTTGTTCTGTGAAACTGTTAATGGGAGAAGCAAACACACTGAGGCCTCTTTAAGGATATTCTCTTTTTATACTTGTTTTTAAAAATGACGAGCTTTAAAACAATAGTTTCCATTTCTATATTTACTCTCCCTCAGAGTTAAATGGGAACCACATGTTTATAAAAGTGAAGTGAGGGTTAGCGTGAAGAATCAGAACAAGGGAAGAGCTGGTGTGGCTCTCTATTGTAGTGAATCTGACCTCTTAAAGTCATCATAACCACTTCCCTTTTGCTCAAGTATAAATTTGAGCTAGTTTATTACATTTTAAAGAAAAACAAACAAACTCTCTTTTGGATAATGTTGCTGTAAAAAAATCCATGCCTGATGTTTTGTCGATAAATAACCTTTTATGAACGAGACCATGTCCATTATTTACCAGATAAACAACCACAGGAGACTTCCTGTACTTTTATTATAAATCTACTTGGCGGCAAATAGTCGCGGTTATGTAAAATGTCTTTCAAAGTCAAGTAGAATGCGTTACAGCACCGAAGGGCACGGATAAATAACAAGAGGAAGCAGGGAAGGCAGGTGGGAATGAAAGCTATGAATCAATCCGGGAGACGGTGCTCTTAAATCCCTCCGGATCACCGGCGGCGTGACAGCTGTGCTTATGTGGACGTGTGGGTCAGCAGTGGAAATGACCAGATGTGTGAGGCCGATTGCTAAAACGGCCGTGTGATTACGGCCCCTCCCGGCAATCAGACGGCTGGGGTATGACAACGACGGTTGCATATAAAAAAGGCCGAGACGAGCACCTGCCTTTTGCCGGGGGAGGGAAACAATCACGGGGGGGAAAAAAAACAACAAAAAAAAAACAGGCACACACGCAATCAGCATTTCCCCTCGCTGCCCATCGTCGACAGACACACAGGCAAACAATGACTTTCCATGTGAAGAGACACAGGAATTAACACACACACACACAGACAGACACACACGCTGATTTCTGATTACATAGGGATATGAGCTCACTCACACACACACACACGCAGGCTCTCGTACACCCTGATGTGAGGCAGCCCCCATCTGCAGGCCTTCCTATCTGTGTGTGGCTCCATGGTCCCGCTCACTGGTTAACACCCCGAGATTGGGTCAGCGCAAATCCACCTGATGCCTCGAGCTCGTTGCTCCTATGTGTCTTCCGCCGTTGCACCTCTGTTAGCGTTTTTATCCTCCCCTCTCCCTCATTTTCATTATTGCCTCTAGGTGAGGAAAAAGCTAGAGGCGGACGAGTAGGGGAAGCAGCGGGCAGGGGGAATGATGGGTCACTGATTGCATCTTTTAAGATGTCAGAGCTGTCAATCAAGTCTCCGGCGTGGCGGGTCCTCACTCATTTGTCATGAGCCGGTTGTACCAGCACATCTGTGTGTATGTGTGTGTATGTGTGTGTGTGTTTGTGCTTCGGATTGATTCTCCTGACAGCTTCTTTTCCCACACCGAGAAAGACATTACCCCACCGGGAGGGATGAGGATGAGACAGAAAGAAGAAGGGACAGAAGAAGAAGAAGCCTAACGCTCACCTTCGGCTGATGACGAAGGCGCTGATGAGGATGACCAGGAGGACCAAGCTGCCCACCACCGACACCAGCAACACTGTGGAGTTTGCGCCATCACCGATGATGGGGGCTGGGACTGTGGAAAAGAAAGTTGGGGGAAGAGAAAAAGGGGATACAGGGCAGGTGGCAGACAGCAGTCAAAATGGTCAGGCTTTCAGTTCAAGTCTGAAAACAACTGCGAGGATCATGAATAGGTCAGAATGGTCATAAAAAATAGCCACTGACCACTCTGTGATTGGAGCTAACTGGGCCACCAGTATCCTTATCTTTATGATCAATCTATGCTTTACCAGAACAAGGTTGATGTTAAGGAGAACCATTAAAACTACGTTTGTCTGATTTCTTCCTGGACAAATAGGACTTCAGTGGGACACTGGATGCTGAAATTGACTACCCTGCCATGGCTCTGTGCTCGGCCGGTTTGAGGGGAGGCTGATCGCACTCACCAGAGTTGGTCATGAACTCGAACGGGCCGCTAAAGTCGCCGTAGCCCGCCGCGGTGCGGGCGCGGACGTGGAACACGTAGGAGGTGAGGGGGCTCAGGCCCTTGATCTCTGTGTTTCTGGAGGCGGTTTTTATGATGCGATAGCTCCTTTCGTTCTGATCCTGAAGAAGACAGAGACACAGAGTCAGCAAGTCACAGGTTGGTTAATCAAACAGTTCATTTTGGAGAAATGAAACCCCCTCCCTCACCTTCTCGTAGTACTTGACCTCATATTCCAGAATGACCCCATTGGCCCTGTCTGGGGGCTGCCAGGCCAGTGAGATGGTGTGTCTCGTGATGTCTTTGGCCTGGATGGAGCTCACTGGAGAAGGAGCTGATCAAAGAGAGGGACAGTTGAGGAAAGAGATCTTTAATATTCATGATCCTCACAGTTGTTTTCAGCCTCAATCTGAAAGCCTTGAGTCGGTTTTCCACTGCATTGCTTAATCCTGGTCTTTCTCCTGCTCACAGAGTAAAAGAGCAGGCCAGGGAGGAAATCCCTTTCATTGGTCTTTGAACTCGGATTCCGTTCAAAATCAGATCTGTTACAGAGCCACAAGCCCACAATGCTGAACTGCCGAAGGTAGAGTGTACCACAATAATCTGTAATAAAAACGGAGAGCCTGAAAAGAACTGATCCAAGTGGGTACCAGCAACGGGTCTACCTTCTGGAGATGTGATTTGCTGTGGATTCCCAGCTCACCCTGAAATCCATACGTATGTAAATTAATGACTAATGATGATCCCATACACACTCTTGATGGGACCATGGTTTCATGTTTTGATCGGACAAGAAGAAAATATAGACGGACCCATACCCGGCTATTCACAGAAAATGTCCTAAGAACCACATAAACCCCCCAAAAATATGCCCTGATGGTCCACACAGACTTTGACATTTGACCTCCAGTGATAACTGTAACGTTACTTGTTCCAGACCATCTGCCTTTTAAAAAATTACAGTGGGGTGATTAATGAGGGGCTCTTGGCACACTGGTTATGAATGGGCTATCTATGACTTTAAATACATTCTCATCACTTTGACTGAGGACTCCAGGGAGCCTAACCTCCGAGCTAATGCTAACAGACCCCTGCTTTTAGTCAGGGATTGAGTTCAAACAGGCCTGGAATTCAAGCAAAAGTCGTAGATTGAGTTTCAGTGGGCCAACGGAACGGCTGAGGAGAAGGGAGGGGGCGCAAGGGAGGGGGGTGTGAGTGGTGGGAGTCAAGATGGAGATGGAGAGGGATGGGATTGCAGACATCTCTTTGTAAACGGATTAACCCCGGGTTGTGTCATGCTGCTGGCGTAATGTGTTGCGTCTCCGTTAAACAATTAGACGGCAGCCATTTGTATCCCTCCGATCAATCTTAGCCAGCAGCCCGGGCCAATTTAAAGGCCCCCTTGGGGGAGACTGAGGATGCTCCGATTCAGAAAGGGAACCACTTGAGGGGTCTCTGGGCTTCATTCCCCAAAGGTAATCCACACATCCATCTTTCTTCCAAGACGGTTCATATAGCACTGTAATCATGTTCTGCTGCCTGGGTTGTGCTTTTTTATATTTCCCTCCACTGATGTGAGGATCAAGATAAGTGATTTTCTGAGTGGTTTCCCTTCCAGGTTCCTTGTAAGACACTGCCCCGCTGATACAAAGAAGTCATCTATCAGGGTTAGGTTTACAGCAGGATGGGATACACTGGTCAGATAGACGCCTGAAAGCCACTGATTGGCTTTCAGATTAGCATTTTAAAGGCCAAAAAACCATGTGCGTACAGCGGGCAGTTTGGGAAGATCACACCTGGCTGTCAGGCAACTCTGTAGTTTCTGTGTGGGCTAAACAAGGTGTTTTGGGCAATGAATATTCAAATCGAATTTCACCAGGAAAAAAGCCTCTCAAACCATTCGTAAATACACACAAACGGCAACACAAAGGACCTCATCACACCCAAAAAATCCACACAGGAAAACCTTATCCCACACACACAGTTACAGCACCCCAAACACTGTAAGAGGAGTAAAGAGCCAGCTGAGACTCAGCTAAACCTCTGGTTTGCTTTGTGAAAAAAAACTCATTTTTTGCCAGTGGCTGGAAGCTTTGGGAGGTTTTCTTGGTGTGCTTGTCGAGGGAATGAACTGGTATTCGTGAGCTTGGTCCTCTCAACGCAGTTGTGTTTATAGAGACTCTCTGGATGGTGTAAGCGTTTGCACCAATTACAGTTTAAGACCAAGAAATAGGAGCCTGTGTGAACATGTGGTGGCCAGATTGGAACATGGTCGCCAGATTTGAGCCACTCAATTTACTGTCTGCTGTCAGAGAAAAAAATAGTTGAGGAGGGGATTTGTTTCTCAGAGGACTGAGAAAACTTGCTCGTTGCTCACAAGGCCGAGCCCACCCTGCTTCCACCTCCCCCTTTGCGTTTTGACATGTGTATCTGCCCGGTTACACACTCACGTGGGCTGACACACTTTCCCACACGCACACGATCCCCGACGCACTAATTCACTTTTACTCACCTCGGTCGGCCAAGTATTTTGTATCGAGACATAAACATGTCTTTCTGTCTCTGTCCACACACACACACACACACACACACAAAGTGTGTTTAAAGTGGGGGCAAACACGTCCATTTACAGCTAGGGGTCAGTTCAAAGCCCGGACACCCCCTTCTCCTCCCTCCCTCTTCCATGCAGTCTGGGTGAAAGGGTTACAGCCAGACTGATTTACGACGGAGGAATTGTTCATGGCGACACATGGAATCTGACCTCCTCATATGTACAGGCGCATGCTTGCTAGCGGAATCCTCCACATGGAATCAACAACTCCAACTTCACCTCATATTGGTCCACCAGGATTCTTTTCTCTGGAGTGCACCGTCTTCCATTTTTCTCTCCATTTAAAATGCAAGACTCTTCCTCTTTTCCAACATGCCAACCTCTCTCTCTTCTCTAGCTGAAATTTGAATTTCGCATCACTTATATATCCGAATAGGTCAATGATGACCAATGCGTAATCCACCACATCTGTGAGAGGGGGGGGGGGGTGATTCAGGGAGAGGGACAGCCACAGATGACTGGCTGGATTACCGAGAGGCTGAAACCAGAGCTTCCATGCCCCTAACCGAGCATTAGTAGGAAGAAACCCAATCGGTCTGGAACTGTTCGCTTCAACACACACAGGAAGAGGCGCTTGCACGGAGACGCGCATTGTTCGAGAGGAAAACGTAAATCGTCTCCATCCACGAGAGAGAGCAAACATTCTGAGTTAGACATTTTTTCAACAGACGCACGGCGTGACGGAGCGTCCAGCTGCAGCTTCGTGTCGCTAATCCCGGAGAACGGTCGGGAAACGTGAACCGGTGATGGGCCAAAGACAACATCATCTCTATCTTACAGCTTCGGCTCAGCAGACTGGGCCCCCGAGCAACCTCAAGGGGGGGAAACTGCTGGGAGCGTGTTGCTGTGTATTTGAATAAGTACGCCTGGAAAGTTCCCCTTTGGACTTTTTGCAAGAGTGTGACTGCAGATCCATTCATCTCCATCTTTCAGAATCCAGCTGATGAAACGAGCCAACGTGTCCTCAAATTGCCGGTCCACGCTCGATTCAAGATTCTAGCTTTTTCCAGGGACAAAAAGGAACGATGAGCAGACACACACACACACTCACAAAACAATCTTACCACCCAGGAGAGGAGCAGTAAAGAAGACCAAAGGCAACAACTGGCACTAAAAAGAGGAGGAGGACCGAACAAAAGGGCCAGGGACCCTAAAATCCATTTACACAACAACAGCTTACAAAATGGCTAAATTACGACACAACAGGAGGCTTTGAACTCACCCCTGGGCTCTTCTTAGGCCCAGACATAGTTTTCCTACAAGGATAATTACACACACACACACACACACACACTCACACGCTCACTATCCAACAGCACTAGTAATGAACCCTCCACAGATCAATATTACTCATCTCATTCATTAGCGTGGCAGCTAAATATAGCCCGTTGCCTCTATCTTCAGCCTTCATCCCTCATTATGCAAAAACTCCTGTAAAATATTTCAGGAATTCATTTTTTTTCCCGGTTTCATCGTCCTCCTCAGTCCTCATCCATCCACCTTAAAACTACCCAACTTTGATGGATTTATCTACTCCCGGAAAGTGACAAATGTCAGAAAGAATCAGAATCTGAATCAAATAATTAATAATTAAATCATTTCCCTCTGGGATTATTAAAGTATTTCTGATCCTGATTAAGCCATGATAACTAACATTGTGAATGATGAGAGCCTGAAATAAATAAAAAATATAATTTTTTCCATTTCATGGTGCAGAGATAGGAAATGCTGCACTGTAATTCTCCTTCATACAGAACCACATACCAGGAACGTGAGTCTGGATTTTTCTAGCAAACAGGTCTGACGAGTGTTTGTTGTTTCAGGTCTCCGACTTGATGGATTACAGCTCTTAAATCATGGGAGTTAAGAATGGTTCCAGGACATGGCCCCCCCCCCCAAAAAAAAAAGATAAACCAACTAGCACTTAACACACAGCTTTTGATTTAACGCACTCGCAGTCTCGGGTTCTAACAAATCACATCGGCGTTTCCAGTCCCCCAACAAACCCACATAATAATAATCACGTTATCTTTTTGAGGAATGACCTGCCACGAGAACCCCTGTGAACGCTCTTACCGGCCTGGTTGGTTGTCACGGTGACGGACACGGCCTGGTCCGGCCCGGGGCTCTGGGACGAGACCCCGTTGACCGCCCACACCTCGAAGGTGTAGTTGGTGTGGGCCTGCAGCTCGTTGATGGACACCCGGGTGCCCCTCAGGCTCAGCCGCTGGGGGCTGAAGTGGACGCCGTTGCCGCAGGGCTGGCAGCGCCGGCCGTCCGGCCCGCAGCGCTTGCACACCACGTTGTAGGTCAGGTCCTGCCGCCCGCCCGAGCTGCGGGGGGGGCTCCACTCCAGGTTCACCGAGGTCTCGTTCACGTTGGAGATGAGCTGGACCGGGGCGGAGGGAGGGCCTGTGGAGGGGAGAGAGAGAGAGAGCAGAGATGAGGATAGCAAAAAAAAAGCCCAGCAAGGAAAGACTTCTGAAACATTCATATTGTCCAGGAGCACTTTTATCCAAAGTGGGAAAAAGATGGGGCTGAACCAACTCCATCCCCAAAGCTAGTTGAAAAATGTAGTAAAAAATGTAGTAAAAAATGTAGTAAATAAAACAAATAAACAAATATAGTAAATATCATATGAAGTATATAGGTAATTATGGTAGTTTTCTTTCATAATAGTCAAGCTTTATGGCAAAAAACTTCTAAGAGCTCATTCCAAGCTGTTTTTCTACACTCATACATATAGCAAAAATCAATGTGTAACTGACAGAGAGTTATTCCTTTAATGGGACCCTGTGCTAGTCGAATATCCTTTGAATGCAATGTGTATTACTGTTGCTCAGTAGGCTACTGTTTTACCCGAGTAAACTCACAAAGTTAACCCTGTAATGCCAAATGTATCATATTTGATACATACGGTTTCTGAAATGGTTTGCGTCTGACACCTTTTGCATAATTTAATGGTAAAAACTTTGCTCAAAATCCTATTGTACACAATCAGATATACCTGATAACAGGGGGCAGAAGACTACCCAAAAAATAATCTCGATTTATCGCATAGTAATAAATGATCAATATTGAAAATGTATTTCTGTTTTTTCTTTTTACGTATTTTGCTAAAAGGCCAAATAAAGACTTCAAACCAAAAAAAAAGTAATTTTCTGTTTTGTTTTATTCTTCGATCAGGCTTTAAAGGGTTAAGTCCAATGTAAAAGCAAGCTGAGTTTTGCGTTCAGAAGTTGAATCTGCTGGAAGAAGGTGCAGTGTCGGAGGTTTACGACTCCCTCTCAAACCACTAGCTTGGGATCATTTCGTGTAAAACCTCCCCGCTGTATAAAGTTTCCTATAGAAGCGGTGACACACACACACACGTCAGCTCTGAGGTGAATAATGTGCTAATGAAGCACACGTGAGCGGGCTTGGAAAATTAATCATTTCACAATGGATGTGAATTATCTGTGTTATTTTTGGAGGAGAGCAAGAGGGCAATGAATGATTTTCACAGAGAGGCTGGACGCGGATGAAGGGGACGGTTTTTTCGGGAGGAGGAAGAAGAAGGGGGTGGCGGTTTCTGCCCCGAAAAGAGCTGAGAGGGGAGGACTGGCGCGGTGTGCCAGAGTTTGGCAGAAAATGGCGAGAGTCGAGCAAACACTGAGGTGGAGGATAAGGCCGGGAGGAAAATGTGGAGAAGCATAGGAAGAGAAGACAAACGCCATCTGTTCATCCAGAAAGAAGAATGAAAGGTGCAGGTCTGGCTGGATAAAAGGGAGGGAGGCAGAAGAGATGGGAGACAAGGACACGGCCCGGGCTAATATTAGCATCACTCAATTTCCCCTTAACAACGGCAGACTACAATGAAAATCTATTAATAAAATCCCATTAAATCTATTGGACACACTGCTTCCCCTCTTGCCGTTTCACCTCATTTCCCCCCCCCCTTGTCTGCTTCCTAGACCAACGAATAAGTCACATCTGGGCTCTTCTACATGAACATAAACCATATCAGTGAGCACACACACACATATACACACATACAGGTTCTCAGCTTTTATTCAAAGTCCAGGTGTCATAAACTTAGAAAAGTTCATTTAATGCTCAAACACAAATCAAAGGCTCTGCTTTAGCTGACCTGCAGAGAGTCCCACAAAGGCCCGCTTGTTGCTATGACAAACACATCCACATCTTCTGTATGGTACTTATCACATTCCACCAAGTCAGTGTTCTTTACTGCCATAACACACACACAATCACACACACACATACACCCATACAGACTTCCTTTGGTGTACCTGTCGCTCTCCCAGAATGCACCAGCGGGAGCAAAGGAGCGTGGGAGAGCTGTCGGCTGTGACTGACACCCAGTAATTAATCCGAGGAGAGAAGGAGAGTGCCGTGCTTACATAAGCCTCATCCACCATTAGCTCAAACGTCTCTTTCCTCTAAAACCGTCTCACCTGAACAAAAGCCCGAGAGGTCTTTTCTTTTTTCCCCTCATCTCCTTTTCAGCTCGTTTATTTGCTTTGCACTTTGTTCCCGCTAATTTCTTTCATTCCTCGTATGGGCGCCTTCCTTGAATCGTTCTCCTTTTTCTACTCCGCTCACATCCTCCAGGTTTTCTCTTCTCTATCCTCAGTCGTTCTGTCTCTCTTCATCAGTAATTGTTCGCCGAGTGTTGCACAGGTCTGAGTTCAAGAGCCATCCGAGTTGGGCAGAGAGCCGACCCTGCTATTACAATCAAGCCCCCCCCCCCCCCCCCCCCCCGAGCCCCTCGGAGCTGTGTGTTTATTCCACACTCCGTCCCCCTCCCTTTCTCCTTCCACAAAACAGCCGCAAAGAAAACTGAGGAAAAATCTGGAAAACGCATCAACGTTCGGCAAAAAAAAAATTTTTTTTTTAAATGGGGAGAGCTTGTGAGCAGAACAGATTGAGCGGGCTGCTCCCAGGAGTGTCTGACTCTGTTCCTCATTACGGTTGTGCTCTTTTGTGCACTTTTTTAAAATTTTTCTGCTCCCTGCTTTAAAACTCGAACTGAACCGCATTAAAACAACAGCTTAGAAAAAGAAACAATCAAACCTTTGAGAGAGTTGGATCTAGAAAAAAAAGCATCTTAGCACAAACTGCTACAGAAAATACATTGAAAAATTCCAAGTACTACTACAACAATTAGTTTAAACAGCTGGATTTGGTGGAAAACAGGTGTTCTGAACAGAAATCACTGCTCTAGCTACGTCACCAGCCTGGACCAACACGATGTCCAGCTTTGATCATAAACTTGCAGTGCTGGACTGCAAGCTAACACCAGGAAAAGCATTTTAAATTACGCACGCAAATCCTCCAATTACCAGAGGTGCTGGCTCATTTCCAGACTGACCTTCAGCCAGTCAAACCCCGGAGATGAATTTAAGAGGGATGGGGTTTTTTTGTTTTTTGTTCCTCTGCTCTGTTTGGGAGCAGATGAAAAACTCAGAGGAACTCAGAGGGAAAAACAAAATGCGGACAGCCGCTGTGTGAGTGACAGTTGTAATTACGGACTTTTAGCATGTGGGTGAGAAATTAAAAAAAAGGAAAAGAGCGGGGAAAGGAAAACAGCCGCGGACAGATGAGGTGAGAGTTCAAAGCTCCCCAGTGTTGACCGGTTGACCGGCTGACGCGGCGGGGGGGGGCAAAGGTCAGCGCTAATGTTCAGTCGCTAGCCGCTAACCTAGGAATGCTGATGCGGTGAACCTGGGTCCCGTAAAAAAATCAGACGGGCGGCGGGCTCCGTCAGCTGTCGCCGCGGAAACAAAGGAGCTCCGGACCGGCTAACAAGACGAGGAGGCTGACCTCCCACCCCCTGACCAATAAAAGACAGCGTTAAGGCTTTGATTGGCCCCGGGGACACGGCAGATACCAACAATTAGTGCGTGATTATAGTAGATGAAGGCATTCAGGGAACGGGAAAAGATGGAAATATACCCATATAGACCTGAGTTCGGATGACCATCTGAGTTGCTTTATTCTTTAACGTGTATTTCCTTGACAGGTGGCCAGCAAAAGCCTTTGTACTGGAAAACAGTTTGGCATGCTGGCAACTCCAAAACAGCTTTTAACTCATTGACTGCCAGCCATTTTCAGAACAGAGTCCCATACTGCCAGAGTTTTTTGAGCATTTTGACTGATTTTTCAAGAGCCACAGAATAGTTTGTGCTATGACTATGTAAACACCGAACACACCAAAAGAAAGAGTAGACTCTCTTCTTTCATCAGGAAAAAAACATTTGTTTCTACCTTATTCCTTTCTTCCTCGACGTGCGTCTCACCGGCGCCATTTCTTGCATAGCGAACCATTGCGTTTTTTTTTATTTATTTGCCTACAATCTATGCTCATCTCCCATCAAAAGTGGCACAGCTACCTAGAGGGTCAATTTGTTAGTACATACTCTGTCTGGAAGCCTGATATTTACGGAAAAACTTTAGCCGATCGTCCCCCAAGCCACTCGCGTTGAAAAACATAAAAGACGTCTATAGACGTCTTGAGTTAAATGTGTAATCTAAAAAAATCAGTCATTCATTACTGCTTGACTGATGGAAAATGTCAAATATTTTCATATAAAACATTTGATAATGCAAATGTAAGGTGTGGAGACTGAGTCCTCTCCGTCTGCTTCTGTATTCCAAACCTCAGCTCTCCCTTTAGAATAGCATTGTATTCATTTCCAGCTTTTCCATCACCATCCTGACACACTCAGGACACACTCTGTGAGTGAAAGAGTGACTGTAGGATTTAAGACTCTTTCCCCTCATCTATCATGTCGCTATCGCTGCCTGTTTTGCGTTTGAGCCGCAGCCAGTGGTGGGAAGTAACGAAGTACAAGTACTTCGTTACTGTACTTAAGTACAATTTCCGTGTATCTGTTCTTTACTTAAGTAGATTTAATAATGGATACTTTCTACTTTTACTCCACTACATTTAACAGTAAGTATCTGTACTTTCTACTTCACTACATTTCTATACAGCGTTTCGTTACCCGTTACATCCAAGACGCATTTCGGTTTTTTGATTTGTTCGTTAGTTTGAAAGTATCCAATGGCGAGAGCAGAATCAGTCCGCTGAACCAATCCAAAGCGGGAAATAACCATTAGGCCCTCCCTCAAGAAGAGCAGCACAGTACGCAGGACCTGCATAAAATATCTAAATCTAAACTGTCACAGGGGGTAAACACAATAAAAACATGCTTTATCTGCAGCATTGCTCATTAAAATGGTACATTACTGATTTATTCAAACTAAATACGATAGGTACACTTAATGACATCATATAAGCCCTTAGGTATTATGGTTGGCAAGTACTTTTACTTTTAATACTTAAGTAGTTTTAAAAGCTTGTACTTTCTTACTTTTACTTAAGTAAAATAATACTGTGGTACTTTGACTTTTACTTGAGTACATTTTTGTCTGTGTATTTGTACTTTTACTTAAGTACATTTAAGTTTAACTTAAGTATGAGTACTTCATCCACCACTGGCCGCAGCGTTCTGTGTTTGTGACAAAGTGAGTCGGCCCCACATCCGTCCACTGTCTGCAGGGGTTATCTAAACAGTTTCACAGGAGCTGTTTAGGCTGTGTGGTAAAAAAAAACACAAAAAAAAAACAAACGTGTGATGTACTTACGGGTGCAGGACATGGACGCCGGGTCGGTTTCGGAGCGGAAGTACCCTTTGTCGCACGCGCAGGAGGTGGAGCCCTCTCTGACCGAGTAACTGTGGAGCGGGCACTTGGAGCAGGAGCCGTCGGTGGCCAGGGCGCGGTAGTAGCCGATCTTGCAGGCTGAAAGATTCGGAGGGACACGTGGGAAAAGCGGGTTTTTAGTCAGATAGTCACGAGGATATAAACACACCGGATCGTCGGTTCATCTTTCAGGAAAGTCATGCTGCCCAGATGTGAGCCATCCCCCCACCCCCAACCCCCGGATTTGAGGGGGCACGGACTAAACTGGTGCTTTCACTGCAACTGAATCTGAAAGAAAACATCAAAGGAGCATTAGGAGTGAGCCCATGGACCCCGGTATGGGGGCATACCGCATGCTGGGACATTTCACTCAGGAAAAAGAAAGAAATCAAAGATTTTGCGGCCACCGCAAATAAAGAATGTAGCAGCAAATTATATTTTTGAGAAAAAAAAACAAAAACCTTGTCTGATTTAGTGCTGGAACTATACAAAAGTGTCTGCCAGCCCGTCCCAACTTGTGTGGCCCCTTAAGCCAAAACAAAGCTGACCGAGTGACCTCAATGCCCTGAATCTGTTGTGAGGCCCAAACGAAGCGGACTTAAGTGGCTGACCGCAGCTCAGGCCATCGGAGACCCACGCCTGCTGTTTCCAGCCCAGGAAAAGAAGAAGAAAAAGAGCACACACTGATCTGGACTGTTTATCGCTGACCACTTACTATCTGTCTCTTCATCACGGCTTCTTTTGCCCGTGTTGTTTTTTTACTTTCTCAATATATATATATATATATATGTCCTAATTAAAAAGCAGAACAAATGTTATGATGAAAATAACGCCCTGCTGTGTCTCTGGGGAAAAATATCGTTGGAAGACTTCCAGCTCCAATGAAACTAAAGCTGTTTTCATTCCAGAGCATTTAGCAGACCCCCCCCCCCCAAACCCCCCCCCCTTGGCACCCCAAGATCTGTGTCATTCTCAAAAGACTGCCTCTGTCCACACACACACACACACACACACACACCTCAGTCTGACGTGGAAATCTTTATTTTTTTCTCCACGGCGCTCGCCTTTCTGACGAGCAACATTGTGATTGGAGGGCTCATCTTTCAGGGTTTTTTTTTCCTTCGTCCGTCCATCTCTAGGAGCGACCGGGGGGAAGCCTACAGGTTGTGTTTCACTCTCTGAGCACTGAACCGGAAGATGAGGAGGACAAAAGGGGCCGATTTTCTCTGAGGCGCACCGCAGTGGACCAAATGAGCCACCAGTGAGGTTGCCGTGCGCTTAGCAGTGGGCGGGTTGGGAGCTTTTGTGGTGTGTGTGTGTTGTGTTAAAGTGTGTGTATCAAAGCTCTGATGTAAAAGGTGGGGACATTCGTAAACCCCAATAAAAGTTCTATGACACACACGTGAACACACAACAAACACGCTCTCTCTCTCTTAGGGAGTCTAAATGTTTAGTTTCCAAATCCCACAGTCACGAACACATCAGAGTTCCACGTAAAGTCACTAAAGCGTCCACATCTGCTCGCCAGAGATGAAATCGTACAACCACAGACGGGAGAAAGTCTGCCCGCAAATCCAAAACACACATTCCACGGAGCAGTCGGCGTGCGCGTATCCCCCTCAAACGGCGGAGGAAATCCACAAACCCGAAACATTCCCTCCGCGTGGGATTAATGGAAGTCGGGGCTTTTTGGCCCGCGGCCTTTCTCTGGAGTGGCTGGATTAGCATTGGCGTGACGTTTTGAGCGGTGCTATTTGCTACCTGCTGAGGCATTCTTTGACCCATCTTCTCTCTTTCTAAATCCCCGCCACTTCACTCGCTAACGCCGGGGCTAAGGGCCTCATTGATTGCGCCTGCAGGGGGGGCATCAAGCTCTGTTTAATTTCTCACAGCTTAAAAAAAAGAAGAGAGTTTAGTGAGAGGTGCTTTGTGTTATCTCTGTTATCTGTTAGAACAATCTCTCGACACTCACACAGACAGACATTTGGGGATTTGGAGGAGTCGTTCGGTGGTTTATTGGCTGTGACCACCTCGGGTCGCCGTTAGGGTTTGAGCATGTGTGTTGACCAGGAGATCCTAAAAGCTGGATCCACAGTTAAGTGAGTCAAATGCCCCCCAGCAGGGACAGCTCCAGGTTTTAGCGACTGGTGACAGCTTAGCATAAAGAATGTAGCCTGTGACCCTACAAACCTATAACCCTAAAATGGACGTTCTTTTACATTTCTCGTCCATCAAAAAAACAACCTGAGCAGTTCCCTACATGCTAAATGTTTGGCCGGAACAGCCACAGACCAGAACTAATTCCACTTCCTGTCAAATAAACAGCATGTATCCCTCTTTGGGTCGAATCGGAACAAGTACTGAGCAGGATCCTTTTGGACTGGAGGAAAAATCCCACGGATTCCAGCCTTAACAACCACAGAAAATCACGCAGCTTCCTGAAATCCTGAAGATGGAGAATTACAAAAACATCCATAATGTCTGACCTATTCTATAAATCCAATGGAAACTGGATTTTGCTCTGCATTGAAAGCAGAACAGGACATTCTCTCAAAAAATGAATTAAAATCAATTAGATTAATTAAAGTAAAATAACAAAAGAACCAGTGGAACTGTGTTTGTGCATTTTCCCGCATTTAAACTTAAACTCTATACTGCAACCATTAGGATCATTTAGGGACTTTCTTCTTTAAAAATCTCTGCAAATCCATCTCAGTCACCCACAACCCCCCCCTCTCCCTTTCAGCTGCAGCTGGAGTGAAAGGGGGGGGTGAGGCCAAACCTGGAACAGAACTAATCACAATTGATTTGGGCTGCCGGGAATTTGGAGTCAGACTTATGTCATCTGCCAGGCATCGCTGCATCCAAACACAGACAGAGCCATCATCGAAAGTACAATCTCTATAAATACAGGATTTCTTTAGTTCTTTTTGGGGGGAGGGGGACTAAGCCTCTTTTTTTCTAAAGGCGCAGTTTAAGAGCAGCTCACCATAAACTGTGCAACGGTTTTGTAAAGAAGTCTGGAGCTCTGTCTGAGAGATGATGTCAGCATATGAGGTTCTGGTTCCAGCCCAGAAAACAGTGTAGGGGAAAAAAAAAGATGTTCATATCCAACTAAAGCTAGGGGACTTTGCCTCTCTCATTAGGAGGTGTGGAGGAGGACACCAGTGGGCAGTGGGTGGTCCAGGATCGTTTGGCTTCAGAGAGGAATCTCCCTAAAAGAATCACGGGATTTATCGCCAGCCATGGCAAACCACAGAATCTGTCCAGCCCATTTTTTTTTTTTCTCCCCGTTTTTCTCCTATGTCACTATGCGGCCCTCTTTTCATTACTTTTCCTGACCCCACCTCCACCCTCTCCCAGTCGCATGGAGTCCTCCCGGCAGGCCTCCTTTCAGATAGAGAGAGTTTGTCAGGTGCCAAATCCCTGAGCCGACAGATCAAAGATGGACAAAGAGACTGGTGACTTACTGTTCTATTCTGGAATGGTAAAAAAAAAAAAAATGGAATCCTTCATAGGACATCGCATTCTTCTCTATTCTCTCCCTGCTGCTCTTTCACTGTGTCATGTTCGGGGTTGTTCTGGTGTTTTCCCCTTTTTCTGTTTCCC